ACAGTTTGGAGGTCCTCCTGGACTCAGCGTTGATGCTTGATGCTCAGGTGTCAGCGGTGGCCAGGAAGGCCTTTGCACAGTTAAAACTTGTGTGCCAGCTGCGACCGTACCTCGACAAGTCTGACTTGACCATGGTGGTCCACGCCTTAGTTACCTCAAGATTGGACTACTGTAATGCACTCTACGAAGGGCTGCCCTTGAAGATGGTTTGGAAACTGAAATTGGTGCAAAGTTCGGCGGCCAGATTGTTAACCAGAGGAAGTTACAGGGAGTGGTCAACCCTCCTGTTTAAACAGCTCCACTGGCTGCCGATAAGTTTCCAGTCCCAATTCAAGGTGCAGGTTATTACTTATAAAGCTCTAAAGAGTTCAGGACCTGCCTATCTGTGCAGCTGCCTCCTCCCCTATAAGCCCACGGGGATGCCCTTTTCTTGCTCCTGCCCCGTCTCAGGCGCGGCTGGCGGGGACGAGGGAAAGGGCATTCTTGGTGGTGGATCCCCGTCTCTGGAACTCCCTCACCAGGGAGATTAGGCTTGCACCCTCCCTAGCCACATTGCGCAAGGAATTAAAGACATGGATGTTTCGTTGTTCCTTCAACTGATAAATCCTATGACATAGGACCGTATCATGCCCTGAATCATCATTCAACCTGAATTCCTATATTTCATTACTCTTCAGATTCTGTAAGTTAAACTGAATTTATTCTGATTCTGTTAATTTGCTCTGTTTTCATGTTATTTCCTATGCTATTATATGTTTCCATCCACCTTATTGAACCAATTATCCTTTAATCAGCTCGTATATCGGCCTTATCCCTCCCCTCCCCAAATTACTTTGGTGTTGCTTGATGCTTGTTTATTATTGTTATGCTTTTTATGCTTTTAAATTGTAATTTTTATTGCTCTGCTTTTAATTGTATGTTGCCTGGACTTGGCCCCATGTAAGCCGCCCCAAGTCCCTTTGGGGAGATGGAGGTGGGGTAGAAAAATAAAATTATTCTTCTTCTAATCGCAGGTTGTCAAAATTTGAGGCCTGGCTACTTCTAGGCAGATACCCTCACTATTGACTATGCAATCTTCTCAGTTACTCACATGGTAATGGATGGATCTCACTCAAGGGCTAGCCAATCAATCTTGCTAATTGCACCCTTCACACTTGGTTAATAGACATTGGTTCTTTCTCTCACCCTGGACATTCCACAGGTATATGTACTCTGCTTGCTTTACCACCATCAGATCCTCTGAAGATGCCAGATGCAGGTGAAACATCAGGAGAAAATGCTGCTAGAACACAACCATACAGCCTGGAAACCACACAATATGCCAGTGATTCCGGACATGAAAATCTTTGACAATACTTTGAATGCTTTGATAACAATTTTTCAAATGGCTATAAAAATATCTACTTTGTAAATTTTGTAATCAAATACAATGAAAATATCTGATCTGTCTGGATGAGATGAATGAGGCTCTCATCCTAAGTATGCAACCTTAAAAGGTAGTGTTGAATACCTCAGTATCTCTTCCTGATATATTTTTGATGCTGTGTTAAAAGGCCTGAACCTAGACCTACACTCAGCTTACTTCTCTTATTTTTGATGTGTTCAGTTTTCTTGATAGTTTAATAATAATTAGAGCATGTAATGGAATAAAGATTTCCACAGCCATTATGAATGCATGATAGGGAGTAGTACTTTGAAATACCTGAAGTTCAGCCATGTAGAACTTCAGTGGATTGAAAAATACAAACATGAAAACAACCTACTTACACTTCCAGTTCACTGGGTCCTGAACATGCCTATGAGCTCCTCCTTTAGTAGTTGTTTGAAAAATTATATTAATTATTACATATGATTAAGTAAATAGGTTAGCAAAAAACATGGATTCTTAACCTTTGCATAACGCACTTCCCAAATGTTCTTGTTCTCTAAACTTCAGTAAATGTTCAGAATGGAGTTTCACTTGTACTCTTTGCCCCTAAGTCAAACGGAACGGAACATACCTGCTCAAGGCCACAGTATGTGTTAGGATGGCAAACTCATTGTCCCACTGTTTCAATACAGTTCACTGAACAGATTCACAGTTTGACTCAACCCATTTTTATAATTAGGTTGATGGACTGGAAATGAACACCTATCAGCTTATTTAACTTGTGTGTCTTCAAATTTTCCAACTTATGAAAGCCCTTTTGTGGAATTTTTTTGGGCAAGGTTTGCACAGAGGAGGTTTGCCATTGCCTTCCTCTTGTGTTGAAAGAGAATGACTTGCCTGTCCAAGGTCATCCAGTAGGTTTCCAAGGCTGAGTAGGGATTAAAATCTCCCCCCCCCCCCACCAGAGTTATAGTCCAACACTCAAACCACTACACCAATAGTCAAAACATACCTGAAGACAAACTTTTTTGCTGCCTTCTTGATCTTAAAACACTTGTCACTAGATATGCAGTAATTATGACTGCTGACAAAATGCATTATTAAGTATTTTATATGACATATGTGAAGTGCATTTTAAGATTAGACTCCACTGCTGCTCTCACTAGCAGAGAGCCTACATGGATTGGGTAGTGTAACAGTTCTGCCCACCAGTGACAGGACTCCCCATGTTGCTATGGAACTACACACAAATACCATCATTGGTGAAGAACCAAGAAGATCAGAGTGGTGCCTGGTTATGTTCCCATAGTAAGACGCAGACTGATGACATCATCCACAAAGGAGATGATGTCACTGGTTTGTCCCTGGCTATGGGCTCCCTTCTGTTCTTCACTGGCAATGAAATGGATGTTGGAGACAATTATCCCAGTGACAGAGTGATTTTAAGGAGGGATCTTTGGTTGTTAATGGAGAGAGGAAGAGAATACAAACAAAACAAAACACAAGAGTCCGTCAGGCCCTTTTCACACAGCTGTACAAAATCCACATTGAACTGGATTATATGGCAGTGTGGAATCAGATAATCCAGTTCATAGCAGATATTGTGGATTATCTGCCTTGATATTCTGGGTTATATGGCTGTGTAGAAAAGCCTTCATTCATAATTAATGGCATATAGGAAGAAAAAAAGGAGGTGGAGGAGGAAAAAGAAAGAGACTGACTTAGAAACTGTCAAATACAAATCCATCAAATCTATCCAAATCACACCTATAAATTGTTGTAGGAATAGGGGCCATGTGAAAAATACTTTTTTTTTCTTAAAGTGTACTTGTGATTCCTTCAACCAGATAGTATTTGCCATGATTTCTTTTGGAACAGAAGAGTGTTTGGAGCTGGTTTTGGCACACCTGCAGCTTAGGTGGTGCTGCCTCAGCCATTCTCACTGAACAGTCAGTCTGTGTAAATACTAATAATAATAATAATAATAATAATAATAATAATAATAATAATCTTTTATTTCTATCTCCTGGAGGGAAAATAAGTGCAAAATATTACTTGGGGAATTGGAATACAGTGAACCCTTGGTATGCACTGGAGTTTGGTTCCAGGACCCCTATGGATATGAAAATCTATGGATGGTCAAATTCCTTCCACTGCCATATAAAATCCGGATTATCTGTTTTGAACAGGACTGAGCTGTGGCGCAACTAGTGAGTAGCCAGCTGCATTAAATCACTACTGACTGAGAGGTCATGAGTTCAAAGCCAGCCTGAGTCGAAGTAAGCTCCTGACCATTAATAGTCTAGCTTGCTGTCAACCTATGCAGCCTGAAAGACAGTTGCATCTATCAAGTAGGAAATGTAGGTACCGCTTTATGCAGGGAGGCTAATTTAACTAATTTATGATGCCATAAAACCTTCCAGCAGTGTGCAGAAGAATGAGGAAGTACTCCATCAAAGGACTCGGTGTCACAAGTGGACAGTGAAGCGGCAGCTCTCTCTGTGGTTGGAATCGATCCAGAATCAAGCATACCCTCATGAAACCAGAAAAGCTGGAATGTTAAATGCCTCTGTGTCTGTCTATATATGTTGTATGTCTAAATGGCATTGAATGTTTGCCATGTATGTGTGCATTGTAATCTGCCCTGAGTCCCCTGCAGGGTGGGAAGGGCAGGATATAAAGACTATAAATAAATTAAATAAATAAATTATATGGTAATGTAGACTCATGTAATCCAGTTCAAAGCAGATAATGTGGATTATTTGCTTTGATAATCTGGGTTATATTGCAATGTAGAAGGGGGCTTAATGATATCTCTGATATAAAATGGAAAAAAATCAAGCTTTGAGATATATATATATATCCTTCATTCAAGTCATGGAAAATCCATGCATAGGGAGGGCTGACTGTATGGGAACTTATGGATGGTAAAGAAGGATTCTAGGGCCCCTTCTACACTGCCATATAAACCAGATTATCAAATCACATAATCCACTTTATCTGATTTGAATTGGATTATAGTAGCCTACTCTGCCATATAATCCAGTTTAACGCATATAATCTGGATTTTATATGGCAGTGTAGACAGGGCCTAGGACTGAGGGTCCTTCCAGACAGGCCCTATATCTCATTATCTGATCCTAGGTTTTATGTTTATCCCAGATAATCTGGCAGTGTGGACTCATATAATCCGGTTTAAAACAGAAAACCGTGGATCGGATACTGGGATAGAGGGCCTGTCTGGAAGGGCCCTGAATCTTAATATTCAGCTCCAGGAAACCTTTCATTGTGAATTCATCACAACGTTTTGACAGGCAGGCATTCAAAAGTGAACTTTTTTTTTTAAGAAAGTCAGGTTAAAAAAAAAGCACAATACTGGCAACAAATCTGGATGGTTGATTTAGAAAGGTATGAGGAGAGAGAGGTGAAGACTCGGAAGCGACAAGCAAAAGGCATCTCCCAAGGGGCCTTCCCAAGCCCGAGGGGGAGGCTGTCAAGGGCCTCTTGGGTCTGACAGCATGAAAGCGCCTTCTTTGAGGAAATGCTTGCGGCCAGGTGAGTGCCAGCTGCCAAGCACCGCCTCTCCACCTGGACGGGGCTGAGAGAGGGGTAGACATATATATAGAGAGAGAGAGCAGCGCGCAAAGGTCGAGGGCGCGCTTTGCCTCTTCTCTGAGGTCTGGGCTCGCTTTAAATGAAGACACACAGGTCCCAGAGCTGGCTGAGCTGCTTAGTGGCTTAGGGAGCAGCCAAGCCATTGTGCTTTCGAGGTGAGGGCGTGCGCCATGGCGGAGCCGAACCCCAAGCGTCTCAAGAGCGGGCTGCCCTTCTGCACCGTCCACCGGCAGCAGCAGGCCCGGGCGCTGGGCAAGTTGGTGAAGCAGAACTTCCCTCCCGTGGTGGAAGAAGGCCTGTGCGGGCTCAGCAGCGCCCTCCTGGAGGGAGCCTACCTCTTCCAGATGCTGGTAAAGGCGCGCGCCGCCCGGGTTTGGAGCAAAGGCGCCCTGGCTGGCGCGCGCCCTCTCGCTTCCTCTCCCTCTTCTTTGCCCTCTGCTTTGCAGCCTTGCTGTTCTGCTCCCGCCTTTCCGGAGAATGAATGCAATTTGACAACACCTTAATTGCCAAGTCTTGCTTACTTAGGCGATCCCTCGTAGCTGGAGGATGATGGTCTTCCAGATGTGGTGTCTTGGCGGTGGGTCAGTAGGTGGCTGTGGAGCCCTATTCTTGATCTGCATCTTCTCCTGCAGTGAGGCAGACCCGATCAGGGTTGGCTTGACATGCCTTCCTCTTGGCACATTTCTCCCTTTCGCCCTCCATTCCTGCCTCTTTGAATTCTGCAGCACTGCTGATCACAGCTGACCTCCAGTTAGAGCACACAAGGCCCAGGGCTTCCCAGTTCTCTGTGTCTATTCCACGGGTTTTAAGGTTGGCTTTAAGCTCATCTTTAAATCTCTTTTCCTGTCCATCAATATTTCATTTCCCTTCTTGAGTTGGGAGTAGAGTAACTGCTTTGGGAGATGGTGATCGGGCATTCGGAAGTGACCAGTCCAGCAGAGTTGATGGCGGAGGAGCATCGCTTCAATGCTGGTGGTCTTTGCTTCTTCCAGCCAAGGCTTAGTCTTTTGGGATCATAGGGTTGTAGTTCTTTACCCTTCTCAACCCAGTAGTGCTGTGGCCTCAACAAATTTCTAATGCACTGTTTCACCACAGATGGTTGCCTGTTGTAAGCCATCTTGAGTTCCTCCTCAGAGGTGAGGATGGAATATAAATGCTATAAATAAATAAACAAACAAACTATACATCCCAGGATCCCATAGCATTGTACTGTGGTAGTTTTTTTCGTGCCACTTCTGGAGTGAGAGAATTGGCCGTCTGCAAGACGTTGCCCAGGGGATGCCCAAATGTTTTACCATCCTTCCTGAGATTTGTAGTTTGGTGAGGCTTCAGCACTTTTGGCAGAGAAGGCTAAAACTACAGGGAGAAGGGAAAACTACAGCTTCCAGGATTTCATAGCATTAAGCCATAACACTCAATGCTATGAAATCCTGATATGTGTGATAGATTCATGGTGTTGTGTGAGGAGAGATTACTTAGTTGTTTCTTAAGTATGCTTAACTTAGCAATTGATAGTAAAATAAACAAATAAAGACCATTTTGGTTACCATGTTGCGGGTTATACTGCAAACACATTCTGCTTTAGGAGGCCTAGACTGAAATTGATTTGTTTTTGTTTTGGCCTGATACAAACTGAGCCAACTGAGCCAAACTGAGCCAAGAACTGAGCCAACTTCTTTGCCAACTGTGAAGTCGATGGGAGGGGGGAGGTTATCCTTGTAGCAATCGTATCATAGTTGTCACTAAGTATGGTACTGTAAATAATCCTAAATGTCTGGAAAACAACTGGATTTTCCACCTTAAGGTATTAATAATGTCATGTTATTGAAAGTTTTGTGAGAAAGGTGTGAAATTTTCACAAAGAAAATGAAAAGCATGTTTGTAGAACATTATAAAAAGGGCCAAGAAGACAAGTAAGAATCACAACCCTTCAAAATATTATAGAGCAGTGCACACCAGCTTTCCCCACTATGCCAGTTAAGGCTGCTAGAAATTGCAGTCCAGCAATACCTGGAGGCCTGCAAGATTCCCACTCACAGAATATACTATAGGGTAGATGTAGATATATTAGTCAGATAGTGGGTAGAAGCTGGAGGCAAGGAGGGTGAGGTCTAGGATAGATGGCTTAGACTATGTAAATTGTTAAGGCTTGAACTGGTGGACATTGATCATTATAGTTTTAAGTAGTTTTATATGGATTTTTATTATGCGATATTAACTGTTTTTAATTGATATGTATGTATGTTGTGGCATTTAATTGTTGTCAATCTGTACGCCACCCTGAGTTGCCTTCGAGCTGAAATGGTGGGATAAAAATGTGATAAATAAATAAATAAATAAATAAATAAATAAATAAATAAATAAGGTAGGCTTCCTCCATGTCAATCACAGAGATACAAAGCGTGGGCAGTTCAAGAAGCAAGAAAGCCTGAAAAGGGAGAAAATAGTTGTGATGCTGGACTGAAGAACTGGGGAAATGGAAAATAAAAGTAGTCCAAGGCCAAATTCTTACCATAGGGAAGGACATAGTGGCCTTTTCTCCCAGTAGTTCTAGACCAAGTCACATTGCTATCAATAAGCAAGAATCCAGAAACCATATAAGACTGAATATACCAAAAGACAGACCTGGTTTAGTAATAGTAACATAGTTCTTTTCCTGTGATCCTTCCTTTTCCACTTGGATTCCATAATAGCAACTATCTGGTCTCTATTCAAACTGTATTTCCTAACTTTCTATTATTTTGTATTACTTTCATTCTTTGGGGGGGGGGGGAAACTTGTGAGATATTCATAAATTATGCTGTATTTTTACCATGTTTATCTAAATTTCAAAATCAATTCCAAACCATTTGGGATAATGAAATATATTCTGGAAATAACTATTGGCCATAATTACAGCTGGATCAAGCAATTATTTTTGCATAATTTACAATATTTGTTGTAATTTCCCACAATACACAAACACATATGCACAATATGGAAGAAACCTGATATAAAGCATTATGTTTACTTACATTAAAAAAGCAGATTCTGTAATTATTTTGCTCAAAATGTTCTTCCTCTTACTCTTGCTGAAAAGTGTTGCTAAGGAAACACTTGAAGGCACATGTATCTAAACTTAGTGGTGTTTTCTTTGCTGTAATAGGGCGAGACATTTGACCATTCTGATATGGCTTTACCAAATATCTCAACATTTTTCTTGGACCGGGCAAAGGAAGAAAGGGAGGCAGCAGAAGCTTTGATACATTACCAGAATGTCAGGGGAGGCGCATACTGCACCAAAGTAATCCAGGTGAGTCACAAGAGTTTGTTGTCATTACATTAAACTTTATATTTCATGACATTTTAAGAGGGTTATTCCCTTTTGAAAGCCAGTGTGGTGTCATGGCCACTACCTTGACCATTAGTTAAGCCCCTGTTCTGCACTTTACCCACTTCCCAGGCCCTATGTCTCCCATTGGCCCAGCCCTCTCATATCTGTGCCTCAGGCCTTGAAAATAAATAGCTCCAGGTTGCACCCTGACCATCATGCAGGATCATGCTTGCACTTTATTCACTCCCCTGGCCCTAGTTTACCTTGTTATATTAGCCTAGCCCTCAAATAGTTATTGAGGCCCACTCTCGAATCTTGGCCATAGGAAACTGAATTTGCCTGATGGAATTAGCACTGAACTGGTTTTTAATTGTAATATGTATGGCTGTTTTATAGTATTATGTCTTTGTTTATAATGATTATTTGCATATTTTATGTCTGTAATTGCAATGTTTGACCTATGCTGGAAACTGCCATGAGTCCCCTTGGGGAGATAGAATGGTATACAAATAAAATAAAAGTTATTATTATTATTATTATTATTATTATTATTATTATTATTTGAAACACAACAAGATGAATCCACAGCAGACAAGATTATTCTGCTGGCTGTTGTATTGGATCACACGTTGGACACTTCCCAAGTGTCTAGGACTATGTGATGTATCGGCGAATAATGCATGCAGATCCCATTATTATTATTATTATTATTATTATTATTGTAATTATAACATAGGAATAAGGGCACATCTAAAATAATTATCATAGGAAATATAAGTCAACTACATATTTGAGATAACTGTCAAATGGAATGCCTTGTAATGCAGGTTGTATGCTGGATCAGTATTTAAAGAATACCAGTTATTTGATACCCTGGAAGAAATTTTATTTTAACAATAATTATTTCACTTTTCTTCTGTTATAATATCTGAAGTTTTATGTCTGGATGAGGAAATTAAAGGGAACACCATTTACTCACCTGTCTTACTGCACTTGCTGCTCTCCCCACCACTGATAACCAGAAAGTTACAGGCATCTGTGTATATGTCCATATACACATAGTGTTATAAAGCCGGAGGTAGAATGTTCTAAAAATTATATTTCTGCTCTGATATAATTTATTTTATGCTCTTTCTTCGCCCTATGAAAACTCATCATATTTTAAAAGAATTTAGCTAAGCTCCCTTTGGTATTTAATTAATTTAAGCACCAGTTGCAATTATCCTACTGTAAGTGAGATTATTTTCCTCAATCAGAAGGATCATTCCATGTGTTTGTATCACATCTTTTCTCCAAGGAGCTCAAGATAAAGTATACAGGATTTATCCACTTTTTAAAAATCCACATAGATGTGCTGTATATATGTAACTTTATTCAGCTTTGTAATAGTATGAGTTGCTACAACCTTATTCAAGATTTATGCAATTGACAGTACACTGTAAGAAGTATGTAACTCACACTAGTTCTTCAGAAACATGTCTAAGAGCCCCCATATAACAAAAGATAATACCACTTCTCCATTAGTTTTGGACTTCAGTTCTCACAGTCCCTTATTCCTGACCATGCTGGATTGCTGGAAACTGGAGACCAACGTTTACCCAACCTTCCACTAATGGAAGTTGATGCAAAGCAAATTCTGGCTTTCCCATATGTTGTCTACCACACCTTAACTTTTTTTAAAAATTGATTAGAAGACAGAGATAAGAGGTCTGCAATACAAGGACTTAAAGATATGCTGGAAACAGTTGTAGCATTGATTATTTGCATCCTTTCTGATCTGCAACCTTTGTTCTATCCTTTGTGATTCCAGAAGCCACCCAATATACTCATAAATGGTGTGTCACCAGCCCTAGAAGTTGCTCTATTACAATGGAAGACGGTGGCAGGCTATTTTGAAGAGCTGTATGCTCTATGTATCAAGTATGGAGATCCTCACACTGCAAGTACAATCAAGAAGGAGTTCCTCAGACCCAAGATGACAAGAATCAAGATGGCAGGAGATCTACTTACCAATGCTCATAGGCTTAGGAGCGCTCAAGATGGAAGAGGTGACCTTGAAAACTACCTTATAGATCGCTTGCAAAAAGAACTCAAGATTGGGACTGAATTGGAAACTTGCTGCAGTTTCTGTGTGCCAGTTCAGAAATGTATGGGAGCTTCAAGGGAGCTACATCTGCTACAAGAGGAATTCCCATGGCAAAGGAATAATGTAAGGCTGAAACATGCAGACCTGTACTGCTTCACTTCTCAGCCTCGGTGGAAAGGTTTGCGGGAGGCAGATAGAAGACAGAACCATAAATGGTATTAAATTGGGTGAGATTTTGACACCAGGCACTCTCTCTCACACACCATCATTGAGCACTTATACAATATGCATACATCACTAAACTGCTCTAGTATTGAGTGTCTGTTGATGATTGTGCAGTTAGTGTGAAAATAGAATCCTCACCAACATGTTCACTGTAAAATCACAATGTAGTCATTTATTAGTTCATTGCTTCTGCCATGTTTAAAAGGTTATTTAAAGCCTTGTCTTGTTGATCATCCACAAAATCTTGTCCTGTTACTCTATTAACTACTCAGAACTACCCAGACTCATTCCTTGCTTCAATATTTTCAATCTACAGCACAGTATTTCTAGTATTTCTAGTCTGTCCTACAAATTGGGGGATGAGGTACAATACAGCAGTTGAGAGGTGCTATGTAGTAACTAATCTACACATCTGCAGTTTTCAGTGAGGTAGTGATGTTTAAATATATATAAAAGAAGATGGGGGGGGGCTTTTCTAAACTTGGCAAAGGCCTAGGGATTTGTACCTTTACTTTCAGGGATTTTAAAAACTATTCAGAAGATATATCCCTTGTCCCAAATCATTTCTCGTGAATAAACTTAAATGTGTGAGTCCAGGAACATGAATATTGGAGAGGAGCATGAGGGAAGGGGAGACATGTTAAGTTCATAGATAAAACATGAGGAGGAAGGAAACTGCTCAGTCCATAGCTAACCACACCTAGTGCTGGTAGCAGGAAAGACAGAGTAAAAGAAACCCTGGTATACTTAGCATATGACTAGATGCAGGAGCAAGAAGAACTATTACCAGGTGTGAAATCCAGGAATAGACTAACAACACATTTTTGAAACTAACTGGCCCAACTGAAGGAGCCTAAAGTCTTGCAGTTCCATCAAAAGCTTCCAGGGACTGTAGTCATATCTTCGGATGCAAAAGGTCTTCCCCTGAAGGAGTCCATGCTATGATCTTGCAGAAATGATTTTAAAACGGCTTCTAGATGGGACAGTTTCTAGACTGGGCAACACATAAGTTTGAAGTGAGAGAACCCTTCAAATGTTCCCCATTATGGAATGTGAAGAAGACATTTCCCCTACAGCAGTGGTATCAGGGTGTGAAGTGTGTGGACATCAGTGGATGACACCGTCTGGGGGGGGGGGGGGTCACACCTCATGAGGCATTTTCTCACCATCTATCTCAAGATTCCCCAGCTTCTACCTATCTACTGGCCAGGATGCCATCTGCTGCAGCTAACTCTGGGGATGAGGTAAAGCTACTGCTGCTCAGTGACTCCTTCCAGGTCCAGTTAGACCAGGAAAGGGAGAGATGGAGTCCTGCTTTCCCCCCCCCCCGGAAGAAAGTATAAGGCAGTGGGGGGAAGCCAAGGTGGGCAGTGGTATGCTATGCAGCTGGGCTGATATGGAGGGCAGCAAGACAAGTAGGAGAATGGGGATGGATGATGGGCATTGCAGCCCAGCTGCTGCCACTATTTTCCATCACTCCTTCCCCTGTCCCCACAGTTTTATATCCCAAGCATGGGAGGAAAAGAGGACTCAGCACATCAAGATTTCCTATTTGAGCAATGGACTATCTCAGTCCAGATTCCATTGGTATAAAGTCTGGGTGTTTGTATCCACCTTCCTTTCTGCAACCCTCCCTCCCCCACCTGGAGGACCCCTTCCATTCCTGTCTTTGCTGTGGGTGTAGTGGGAGGCAATCAAGACCAGATTTTTCTTTCTACTGGTGTGTCCCACCCACAGGTGGGGTGGCTGCCTGCTTGGAGGTGACACCATTATTTACCATACCAGTCCTAGTGATGGCACTGCCTTGTAGCCCTTCATCTACCCAAACATGCTCACAAAGCCTGGGGAAGCATGGAAGGTGAAGAATGGAGAATTACCAAAAATGTCTTCCACTTCAGATTATGGCCATTTCCATTTGCAGAAGAACTGCAGTGAACCAAGCTATTATTCACAAAATGTAAAATACATATTTTATTTTCATTACCCAACAGATCATTACTTTCATCTTATTATTACCTCAGTCCAGAAAGTAACTTGCTGTATTATTTGTTAGCATTGAACCAAACAAGAAAATATACTGTCGAAAGCTTTCATGGCCGAAATCATTGGGTTGTTGTAGGTTTTTGAGGCTATATGGCCATGTTCTAGAAGCATTCTCTCCTGGCGTTCCACCTGCATCTGTGGTTTTGAGTTTCCAACAGACCTCACAGCCTCTGAGGATGCCTGTCACAGATGCAGGTGAAATGTCAGGAGAGAATGCTTCTAGAACAGGCCATACAACCCGAAAAACTTACAACAACCCAAACAAGAGAATGCTCTGTACTTCACCCTGACCCTTGGATCATAATAATTTTTAGTGGGCTACTCTGCCCGAGCAATCTTCCCTTGCCAATTTCACCTGCATAGGCAAGTAGAATATGCAGCAGTCCCTGAAATCCTCAGAGATGCCTTGGGTGGATGTGCAGAAGCAAACATGGATTCAATGCTTCTCATCATCTTGATGTTCCTTGCTCACAATCTCTAGCCTAAACCATCCAGTGTGCAGAGAAACACTCCTTTCACCCATAAATTCTCTCACAGGTCATGTCCAAGTAAACACTCTGTGCTGTTGTTTAAAGCAGCCAGCCAGACAAGACAGCCCCCAGCCCAGTCCCATGCGAATACTTTCTGGCAGCGGCAGCAAAATCTTTCATTTGGAAGAATAGAGGGAAATAGAGTAATAGGACTAATTTTAATTCTTTTCCCTTTAAAAAGTGGTTCCATTTTTCCCCTTTTCTTCACCCATAACCCGTTGTTGTTTCTTCCTTGTATTCCGGTAACTGCACAACTCAGAAGATGGGTCACATTGTTAGTCACCCATGTTATGCTTCTTAGTCCTCCCTTTGTTCAGACCTAGGGTACATCCACACTGTAGAATTATTGTAGTTTCAACCACTTAAACTGTCATGGCTCAATTCTGTGGAATCATGGGAGTTGCAGTTTACAAGGTCTTTACACATTTTTCTCTATCAAAGAGTACTGGTTCCTCACAAAACTAAAAATTCCAAGATTCCATAGCACTGAGCTACAGCAATGAAAGCGGTGTCAAACTACATTAAATCTACAGGGTAGATGCATCCTTAGGCAGAACATAGCCACTCATTAGTAACAAATAGAAACCTTATTGCATGACTCTAAAAAGTATCAAATTACAAGAGCAACATAAATTAGCACACAAAAAGGCATCACTGTTCTAGCTTGTTAGTACAAAAAGTATCTAGTTGCCAAAGTAACTCTTTAAATGTAGCCTGTTACTTGTTTATTCATACATCCTTTGTGTAACCAAACATTAGGCAATCTTGAGCAAGGAACACAAATAACAATTTAGTTTTTCTTTATTCTGAAATCTATTGGATGTTAGGTTTTTTATGTTTGCTGTGCTGGAAATAATTTTTAACAAAATATTATTTTGTAATATATCTGATTTTATTCCAGAAAGTTTTGTTATATGATGGCCTTTTGACAGGAGATTCTTTTAACTGCATTAATATGCTTGCTATGAAAATAATAATGCCAAAAATGTATATCTGAAATAAAGCATTCTTGTGTGGATCTGCAATTATTTAGAATGAATTTGAGAAGATGTAATTTTTTAACCTAGTGCTCATCACTGCTCACTAAAATATAATCTAACACATTTGGAGTACTATAGGTGGGTGAGGGTCAGCATTTTTACTGTGAGCTGGCCAAATAGGTACCCTGTCTATCACATCAAATCTGGCCTTGAATTTTCTACAAAGAGAAAGGTGGAATAAAATAGGATAAGACAGACCTTGTGCAAATGTCTTGGCAAACACCCAGTCTGGAATAAAAACAGATTGTTGTGGTGTGCCAATTGGTATTCCCTGTTCCAAACCAGGGATCTGTACAATAGCAATTCCATATCTGCAAAAGATACAAAGAACTACTGTGGAAACATGGGAATGCAGATAATAGCAAATCATATTGAAGTAAATTACTTTGGCTGGTTGTTTGGAAATACAAAGAAAAAAAAACCTAACAAATTTCACTTCACTTTTTTCACTATTATTGTGTGCCTTGAAGTTGTTTCTGATTTAGCAGCACTAAGGCAAACCTATCGTGGGATTTTCTTGGGATGATTTGCTCAGAGGGCATTGGGCACTGTTTTCCTCGGAGGCTGAGAAAGAGTGCAACTTGCTCTAGGTCACCCAATGGGTTTTCATGGCTAAGTGGACATCCAAACCTGGAGTCCTAATCCAACACTTAAACCACTACATCATTTATTTACCATATTTATATCCTGCTCTTCTTACCCCAAAGGGGACTCTGAGCAGCATTTGCACATAGGTGAAAATTCAATGCCATAGAAAACAATAAACACATGGCAATCTATAAGAAGACCAAAACATTAGTGGAATTTCACACCATTTCCATCAACTTCTTAAGCATCTTGCCTGTACCACTAGTTCTCCAAAGAGAATCCACCCTGTATTAAGTCTGAGATTATCAAACATTTGAGTGACTGTATTAAAAGGGTTGCTGTAGATATGCTACATTTTCTCCCCAAAGCAGCTGGAATATATGAATATAAATGCGGATGGGGGTGGGGGAGGTTTGATAGCACACCATCAGGGGCATATCACTTTCAAGCCCAGGGACACTAAAAGGTAGAAGTACATTAAAGACTCAGAAGTACATTAAGCCTAGCTAGCTTTCAGTTTCTTAACTTAATATTTTAAAATAACATTTTAAGAAGAAAAAAGCCTATTTCATGAGAGTACAATCACATCCTATTTAACATATAATTATGATACTTGGATATAACCATCACTAAGATGATTCTATGGGAAGAAATATTTAATTTGATGTACTGCACAAAATACATTTGATTTTTTAAATAAAAAACCTGTTTAAATATATTTATTCCTCCCAGATGAAATTCACTCCATTTTAAACTATTTATTGAAATGGGTCAAATTTTACGCATCATTTGAATTTTTTTTACATTTGCCCATAATACTTTATGAGATTCAATTATTGATAATGATTCCAGCTTTAAATACTATTTCCATTCCACAACATGCCCTGTGACATTAAAAACCTTAACGTATACATGTCTCAAAAATGTAAGTAGTACATTCATATGGGAGAGAGTAATATGGCAAATAATGAGATTTGATGAGATAACACACACACACACATACACATATATATGTACACATATACACATACATACATACATACATACATACATACATATATACATGAAACTTTATAAATACTAGACTCCTAGTTGGCAATGCCATGAGATGAACTTGAAATAATTGATGAATAATGACAAATTCATAATATTTCTCAGTTCCCTTCCTTCCTGTAGGTTCTTCAGTGATATACTAGAATCTTCATGAAATAAAATGTATAATACCATAGTATCATATACTGTGTGTGTGTGTGTGTGTGTGT